ACAACTTTTTTGGAGGGCCTTTTCGTATAGTTTTTTATTCTTATTAAAATTTTTTTCATTCGACGCTAGTTTACTAATCCTGGTGCAAACGGTAGTGGGTCTTTGTCGCAGGATTGCACTGGGGTGGTTTGAACTGATATCAATATAATTGGGGGTTTCGTTCTCTTTATGGGAATGTTCAAAGGTTTCATCATTAAGGGTGATATCTAGGGAGTCAACTATTTTAAGGTTAGAAGAACTCTCGATCATAAACCTCAGGAATCTGAAGCTCTGATAATTTTCTTTTTTAATTTCGCTGTCAGTGGATCATTACTATTAGGGATGAGGATGAGCCCTTCATCCTGATACAGCCCTATTAGTTCTGGTTTTACGAATCTATTAAGCACATCTAAAATGTAAAAACATACTAGGTCTGAAACTTAAGCTGAGTCATAGGTTCCCATGGGGACGTCGAATTCGTCATTGTGGCGCTTAGTCTAAGTGGAATTATTTAGTGTTAGTAGTGACTTTCTCGCCGTTAAGATGATGTCAGTTTTATCATCCATTATTTCTATATAGTTCTTTGCAAAGTTGATACTATTGACCAGGAGGTCCCATAGTTATAGAGTCAATTATATCAAATTTAATTAATGTTGCTTTATTCTTATTCCTCATGTTAGTGAACCATTTCAGACGAATCCTTTCAAAGGTTAGTACTGGTTGTGATTATGAAATTTCGGCTATATATATATATATATATATATAGTTGTATATATAGGCAGCAATCCTTCCTTTATGCATGTTTCATTAAAAACGACAGACAAGGTACTACGGTTAAGCTTTTTATTTAATTTTTCTTGTGTTCGAACAAGAGCTTTCTTTTCTGGACAAAGAGTGTGTAAAAAATGTCCAAATGTTTTATATTTCTGAGCGCTTTCGGCTATACCTTTAGCCATTATCAAAGATAATTCGATTTTTCAGCTTAACTGAGTGTGTGAATTATGTGTATGTTTTAGTGTGTTGTAAGGATGTTTTAATTTCGAAATACGGCTAGTGTACTTGTTTGTAGTTGATATTGTTAAGAGTTGGCTTTTTCTCTTTTATTATTCGAACACAAGAAAATTAAATAAAAAGCTGAACCGTCGTACCTTGTCTGTCGTTTTCAATGAAACATGCTTATATATATATATATATATATATATATATATATATATATATATATATATATGTGTGTGTGTGTGTGTGTGTGTGTGTGTGTGTGGGTGTGTGGGTGTGAAAATATGTAGAAAATAGGAAAGAACTCGTTAGGTAAATAATCCAAAGTTCTTTAGTATGAAAAATATGATTATAAAAAAACAAATGTTAGCTAAAAAAAAAAAAAAAAAATTTAGACACCCCAATCTTACCCTGACTTGACCTCTTTGAATGTAACTGAGATATTGATATAAATTATTAACCCTTACGCCCCTTTTTTAAATAATTGCTCTAGCTGTTACCATAGTAATTTTAATTTTAGTAATGAACATGCTTATAAAAACGCGTAAATTTCAAGAATTAGTTATTCCAAAAATTTTGCTTCAAGATGGAACAGACCTTGGTACTTTAATTAAATTTAATTCAAATAATTATATTGAAGTTTTCGGCTCTTGTTTTGAAACATGAGAAGGAATCATATTTTTAAATAAATAATTATATATATATATATTAAAGACATTTTTATGTTTAACGTTCTTTTTTATAGATACAAGTATTTAAGTAAATGCTCTGTTTATAATAAACAGTATTAAATAACATTTACCGGCCTGAATGTACGAGAAATTTTCATAGAAAATATTGGTCCTTTGACAGGATTCGAACCTGCATCCTATACGGAACAGTCATTTACGCTGACGTGCCTAACCTCTCGGCCACAAAGGAGCGTTCGGTAGGCGAGGTCGAATTTATATATATATACTAAGGTTTTACAAATTCCGACTAATTTGTTTTATGTTAAAATTAAAATGGGAAAATTTTGAAAAGTTCATTTAAATATTCATATCACAAACCAACAAAAAAAATTATCAAAAAACAAATTTTAATGAATAATTCCCAGATATACAATGCATAAAAAGATTTCAAACTCTGGAAGACGTTGTAATAAAATCGAAATAGGCAACATTGAATAGGTTGCCTTTCTCCAAAGGAGAATCGTATATTGAAGTATATATAGATAAATAGATATATATAGATAAATAGATAAATAGAATCACGTAAAAATTCAGTTTAACCGTTGAAAATGACGTCACCTTTAAGTGACTTGAAATTGATTCAACGACAATGGAGAACTCTAGAATTTGCCAAACATATTTCAATAAAGAGACTATGGCTGCAATTCTTGACATCGACTGCAGTGACAGTCAAATGTACTTGAAAAATTTAAATGAGCTTTGGAAAGTTGACCAATTTTAATTCGGACAATAAAACAACTTAGTCGGAAATCGGAAAAAAAACTGAATAAAAAAATTGGTTGTACATACCTTGTCGGTGTTAAAGAAAACTCGTTTAAAATACTCTCTTTCGAGTAAAGTTTAGCCGTCGAAGGAGTTTTAATGCAGCCTGTTCGAGGTGACAGCCGTGATGTAGAGATGGAAAGATAAGTTGATACGAGAAAGTCAGATTTCTAGCTGGTTGAGAGGGAAAGCTGATCTGTTAGTTTGAGAGTGGCAGTTGGCCCACGTATCACTTACCTCCTGCGTTTTATGTCTATATAAATATATATAAGTCACAGGTACTAGCATAACATAATTTTAACTTACCGTTTCAAACATCGTTCAACTTGGCTCATAAACAAAATGGCGCTCGCCGAATACACAGCAGCTGTTACTGAGACTTGGAACCATGCGTACAGAATGGTCTTAGTCTTTTCCATATTTTCCATTCTTTCTATTTCATGTAGATGTGTCATACTTTATTGCGTAAACAGATCACAGCTGATTGAATTTTGCGTATCAGAGATACAGATTTTCCAAATCGAATTAAGGATTTCAAGTATTCATTACAACAGATATGTTATCAGCCGAGTTTCCCTAAGGAACTGTATGATAAAACTGAAATAAATAATAGAATAATGCGTTGCTTAGTTCTAAGGAATTCGTACAATTGATCACACTTATATTGTCTTTTCAAGCAATTTTTGTCGACCTATTTGGGAGTTGTAAAAATTTTCTTATATGAAAATGAAATCATCTTTAACTATAAATCAACTGTCTAAATTTCTTTACATGCATTATTTACATTATTCGGACTGTTATCCTCATCTTCATTACCATATTCACAACGTTTCGGCCGTTGTACGCTCCGGCGTCTATGTCTCTCTATATATCTGTCTATATCTCTGAGATGAGGTATTATGATTACTTGCATTATTTACATTATTCGGACTGTTATCCTCATCTTCATTGCCATATTCACAACGTTTCGGCCTTCCTATCTCTGAGATAAGGTATTAAGATTACTGGCATTATTTACATTATTCGGACTGTTATCCTCATCTTCACTGCCATATTCACAACGTTTCGACCGTTGTACGCTCCGGCCTTCACAACGTTTCGCCCTCTATATCTCTGAGATGAGGCATTATGATTACATGCATTATTTGCTAATTCAACAGTAAAAAGATGAGACCCATTTGACAGTCGATTAGTGCGGTTGTTTATTAATAACTTATTTATTTTATTTACATTATTCGGACTGTTATGTTCATCTTCATTGCCATATTCACAACGTTTCAGCCGTAATACGCTCCGGTCTCTAAGTCTATGTCTCTCTATATATCTGTCTATATCTCTGAGATGAGGTATTATGATTACTTGCATTATTTACATTATTCGGACTGTTATCCTCATCTTCATTACCATATTCACAACGTTTCGGCCGTTGTACGCTCCGGCCTTCTTTAGTTGATTGGAATTTGGAACAGAACCCTTTATTTCGTCCTATGGGATAGGCTGTTCTAGTTTCACGTGCCATGCCTCTTACGGATGTTTCAGTTATTTCCTCTTAACTTATCTCTCCAAGTTTTGGTTCATCACTGCTGTGACCTGGTATTGAACTCATAACTGCTTGGGTCTAGTCACTGGATCTAACCAACTTTTTTATCCACTGGGCCAAATTTCATTGTGAAAATGACAATAAAGATGAGGATAACAGTCCGAAGAATGTAAATAATACAAGTAATCATAATACCTCATCTCAGAGATATAGAGGCCGAAACGTGGTGAATATGACAATGAAGATGAGGATAACAGTCCGAATAATGTAAATAATGCAAGTAATCATAATACCTCATCTCAGAGATATAGAGGCCGAAACGTTGTTAATATGGCAATGAAGATGAGGATAATAGTCCGAATAATACAAGTAATCATAATACCTCATCTCAGAGATATAGACAGATAAGTTTCTTTGTATCAAATTTTCATCTTACAATTTCATCAAATCTAATTCCAAATATCAATGAAACAACCTCATTTGAAAACTGACTAAAATATTTCCTTATTTGGGTATCTGTCGAATATATTTCCTTATTTGGTCATCTGTTTAATATACTTGCTTATTTGTGCATCGATCTAATATTTTTCCTTATTTGGGCATCTAGTATATTTCTTTATTTGAATATTTGACTAACGTTTTTCCTTATTTCGACATCTTAGTCATATCTCTAATTATTTGGGCATATATTTGTTATATTTCCATATTTGGGCAAATATCTAATATCTTTCCTTATTTAGACATCTCTCTAATATTTTCTTATTTTTAATCTGAATATATATCTCATAGTTCCATAAAATTGCTTTATTTGGATATATAGCTAACATTCTTATTTGAATATCTTTCTAATATTTTTGTTCATTTTGCCATCTACCTAATATTAATATTATGTTCCTTATTTGGGCAGCTGCCTAATAATCTTTTTCTTATTTAGGCATCTGTCGAATATTCTTTTCCTTATTTGGGCATCTGTCTAATATTCTTTTCTTTATATGGGTATCTATCTAATATTCTGTTCCATATTTGAGCATCTGTCTAATATTGTTTTCCTTATTTGGGCACCTGTCTCATTATCTTTTCCTTATTTGGGCATCTGTCTAATATTGTTTTCCTTATTTAGGCAACTGTCTCATATTATTTTCCTTATTTGGGCATCTGTCTCATATTCTTTTCCTTATTTGGGCAACTGTCTAATATTCTTTACTTATTTGGGGCTCTATCTAATATTCTGTTCCTTATGTGGGCATCTGTCTAAAGTTCTTTCCTTATTTAGGAATCTGTTTAATAAACTTTTCCTTATTTGGGCATTTGTCTAATATTCTTTTCCTTATTTGGGCATCTGTCTAATATTGTTTTCCTTATTTGGGCATCTGTCTAATAATCTTTTTATTATTTGTGTATCTGTCAAATATTCTGTTCCTTATTTGGGCATCTGTCTAATATTCTTTTCTTTATTTGGGCATTTGTCTCATATTCTTTTCCTCATTTGGGCATCTGCCTAATATTATTTTTGTTATTTGGGCAATTGTCTAATACTCTTTTTCTTATTTGGGCATTTCTCTAATATTGCTTTCCTTATTTGGGAATCTGTCTAAGATCTTCTCGCTGTGATTCTATCATTCTCTATTCTTTCTTTCTTTGTCTTGAAATGTTTCTTTCTTGCTTCAACCGCCATTGTTCCTTTTGTTTTTATAACCGATCACTTCATCTGGAAATCTCATTCTTGGCTGAAAACCTTTGTTCAATAAAAGGTGATCGGCACTGATATATTATTTTCCTTAAAGTCTTAATTGCCGGCATATTGTCTGGAACACAATTCTTTCATATACAAATGTTTCTTTTGTAAGCTTGGCTTTTATCCAACTTTTTTACACAACTTTCTATGAGGCGTTTACTGTTTTGCTTTATAAAATCCTATTACTCTAAAAAGCTGAATTGCTCAAATCTTTCTTCTTCTATATGCCTTGTCCGTTTATGGCTCTCAACACCTTCCTACGCTTTGTAACTCAAAGCAATGTTGATCTTTTGAATATTCCTCTGTCTACTTGTGTTGTCATCCATTTACACAGACTCATAAAGTTCTCAGAGAGCTGTCAAGTGAAAGTAAACAAGGCTTCAACAAGAGAGGTGTCAAGTGAAAGTAAACATGGCTCAAACAATCAAACAAGAAAGGTGTCAAGTGAAAGTAAACATGGCTCAAACAATCAAACAAGAAAGGTGTCAAGTGAAAGTAAACATGGCTCAAACAATCAAACAAAAGAAGTGTGAAGTGAAAGTAAACATGGCTCAGACGATGAAACAAAAAAGGTGTCAAGTGAAAGTAAACATGGCTCACACAATGAAACAAGAGAGGTGTCAAATGAAAGTAAACATGGCTCAAATTATCAAACAAGAGTGGTGTCAAGTGAAAGTAAACATGGCTGAAACAATCAAACATGACAGGTGTGAAGTGAAAATAAACTAGGTTCCAACAAGAAAGCCGTCAATTGAAAGTAAACATGGCTCTGTCTAACATTTGGATGAAATATATAGAAAATGGTTATAAAATGAAGACAGCCTGATAGACGAAAAGTCAAAAGAGAAATCACAATGCAATGTACTTTGAAAACAGAAAATTTACCAAAAATAAATGGACGGAAACGAGAGGCAATGTTAGTCGCAGAAATGTTTATTTTTTACCAAAAACTGGCAGCAGATCTATGTGGTCACCCTCTGGCGATGTGACCCTGACCTTAGACATTTCCAGCCGATTTTTAAAATCACTGCCTTTGAATCACACCTGGACGACATATTGCTGTCGAGATCTCAGTCTTCACATGAGAGCAAATTATTTGTTTTGGTCATCTGGGATGGATAAATTCTAAAGTGAATGAAATTTGTTTTGTGTTGATCAAAATCATTTCTAAATATATTTGGACATTCGATTTGTGTCACTTTATGTTTTCCACTTCTTAATAAGATGAATGTCGGTATTACGGTCCTATTCATACGTTTTTAAGTTGACAGACAACATTAATTATCAATTATATGTAATGTTTAGGATTAACTATTAATTAGTTATAGCTTCCAGGAAGTTCTTTTGTCTCTAGACATATTTTACTTCATCTTATAATGAGCTTCAGATATGACAGGCTGAGGGTATTTAATAAGATCTGGTTAAATATATTTGTCATTCATGTCAAGAAATGAGAATATGCCATTTGCAATCAAATTTTCATAAGATAGTTCATTTGCATTTATATTTAATGATTCAAAGAACGCCAAGCAGAACGATTGGCCCTCACGAATATTCACCTCATCAAATCTGTCCTTCTTTGAAAAAATTTTGTACACCCCTGGCTTACAACAACGTGTAGCGAAAAAGCTATTGGGAAAGATGTAATGAGTAACCGTTAACCATAAGCCCCAAAAGCCGAACTGCATTGGAAGAAGCTGACTGAAAGTTTGGTTTGGTTTATTTTACGGTATATCAACCTCAATGGGTTATATAATGGCGAAACATTTTTATTGCTGTTAATATTTTGTTTTGTCAAAAATCTATTTCTGGTAATCTTCAAAAATGTATTGCTTGTAATAATTTTTTTTCAAAAAAGAATTGCTGGTAATATTTTTTTCCTCAGAAATGTATAGCTGGTAATATTTTTTCTTTAAAAACATATTGTGGGTAATTTTTTTCCTTAAAAAAATTATTGCTGCTAATAATTTTTTTTTTATAAATTATTTCTTATATTAAAATCTATTTTTATACTTCCATAGTGTTTTTACCCCAGTTTCGGGGTTAACTATTTGCCCATAGCTGGAACCCTAACAGGTGCTACCACCCCGGGTCAGAGTGGACCTGGGAACACCAGCAATTAAGAGTTGGTTCCACGCACCTCAAAAGCTTCTGATCAGAGGCCTTGCTGCTGGAAGTAGTTTATCGTCTTACCCAGGACAGCTGACTGAAAAAAACTTTGGAAATTACGAGCTCCTTCCGAAAAATCAGACATTGAATTCAGACAAATATTGTCCTCAGTTGGATCGATTAAAGACAGCAATCTAGGATATTGGCTAATTGGAAGGACGTCGTTTTCTATGAAAAGGTTCAAAATCCTCCCCAGTTTTTTGTACAGGAGTAGAGATTTATCCCTTGATTCCTGTCTAGGATTGTATTTCTGGTTCCTTCTAATGTCTACTTCAATTATATACTTCTGACGTCTCTATTTTTTATTTCATTTATTTTTCCTCAATAGGAGTAGACATATTAGCCTATCGTCCGGTTTACGCTCCTCCCTGGTCTCAAACAGGAGTAGAGCTTAATTCCTTGTTTCCTTCAGTATCTGTCTATATTTCTGAGATGAGGTATTATTTAAATTATTTATATTATTCGGACCTCATCTTTGTCGCCATATTTATTACAACGTTTCGGCCGTTGTACGCTCCGGCCTTCTTCAGGTGGTTGGAATGTCGAACTGAACCCTTTATTTCGCTCACTGGTGTAGACTGTTCTAGTTCCACGTGCTATGTTTATCCTCAAGGACACATGGCACAGTGGATAAAGGCGTTAGTTAGATCCAGTGACAGGATCCAAAGAGTTAAACATGGCATGTGGACAATAGTCCGAATAATGTAAATAATGCCCCTTGTTTCCTGTTTGGGATTGGGTAGGCAGTTCCTTCTAAAGTGTTTTCATTCTCTTTCCTTCCCAGACGCCTCTTGTGTCTTAGTGACATTATCGCCTTGTTCGAGTTAAATTGATAGAACCCCCCACCAAAAAAAACAAATAATACCAGAATTTTCTTTGCAGACCAGACAGAGATTGGTACCAGCTGCTTACGGATGTTCTGTTACGGCCACTGCATTCATCTGGATTTGCATCGTTGGGTTATCGCTTGATTTAATGCCTACAAGATTCTTATGGGAAGAACTCAGTTCTTTGGAAGCTTGTTGAAACAAATTAACAGATCATCAGCCAGAACGATATCAAATTCTCGGAAGATGAGAATATGAAACGGTCTCAAAGATGGTAAAAGTCTGTGGAACAAAATGTTTGAATGGACAAATATCTAAATATTATCTTTAAATTCGCTTAAAACAACTTTTTGTTCAAACCCAAAGGCTTTGGCGAAGATCAAATCATTTATTACAGAGGAAAAAGAGTCAAATATTTCCTCACGAAAGAAATGTCAGTTAGATGACATGTAAAGAGGCCGGATCACAGTCCGATTGAGCATTGACAGTCGGCGCGTAGCCGAGTGCTTAGAACGATAGCATCGTGACCTTGAGACTCTGGTCCGAATCTCACGATGGTCCGTTTTTCAGGGAAGTAACTTCTTAATAATATCGGCCTAGGGAGACGATCGTAACTTAAGAATCGTGAGATTGGAATGGTGGAACTGTTCAGAGACCATCGAGTATTGTGCTGGCATGAAATCACAGAGGAATCTTTAGCTTATTGGCTTTATTCGAAATGGAGATTAGACCAGGATAATCCCACTCCCTCCCTCCCAAAAACCTGTGACTAAGATCCAGTATAGTTGCAGTATAAACCAAAGGTTAGCTCTGTGGGTGTTGAAGAAAGACAAGTGAGTTATACGAGGAACCAGCAATTCTTCTTTTATGTGCCGTGCCCATTCAGGACGTAGGCGATTATGGCTCTCCACTTCTCCCAATCCCTTGTAGCTCTCAATAAGTCTTGTCCCTTTGCTGCTTCCCCCAGGCCATGTTCTGTCATCCACTTCCTTAAGCCCGCTAGGTATGTCATGCATTGCTTTCCTTTGTTTCTCTTTTCTTCTATTCGACCTGTGAGTATCACATTCTCCAAACCTTCTTTCTCATTACGTGTTCCAGATATTTCAGCTGCCTCTTCCTGATGTTAAGTATAAGTTTCCTCCTTGTTTGCATCCTCTCCAAAACCTCATCGTTGCTCACACGCTCGTTCCATGATATCCTCAGCATCCTTCTGTAGAACCATACCTCTGTTGCCTTGAACCTCTTCTTCATCTTTGAGGAAACCGTCCAACATTCGCTGCCGTTAAGGAGGATAAATGTCACATAGCAGTTCAGTACTCTTTTCTTTGTTATCAAAGAAATCCTCCTGTCTTGTAATACTCTGCCTAGCTTTAGGAATACGTCTTTGACCTGCTTGATTTTAGTGTTCCCGGCTTGTAAATTGCTATTCGGGTTCATCATTTTATTGCATTCTGTCTTGTAAGGCACGGTGGAGCAATAGATAGTGGCTCGGATAGAGAAATTGGAGAGCCGAGTTCGAATTCCAGTCGAATCCATTACATTCACTTGGGAAACGTATGAATCCTCTACTTCTCCCACCAGCCATGGGTAAATAGCAGGACAGTCTGGGTTCTATAACTTTGGATGGCAACTGGTCTACCGCAGAAAAATGGCAACCTACTGCGGGAAAATAATCTGCCTCGCCAGTTATGTATCAAAAGATACATGAACGCCTCAGCGTGTATCACTCATGGCACATCACTGAGATTATGTTTGATTCCTTCTTTTCTCTACTTTCTCTAGGGGGGGGTGTAATTTCTTTTCCGTGCCTGCTATCAGTACTGTGTCATAATAGCAGTGGCAATAAAATGATCGCTGACAAAACTCATATGCCAGACTATGGTAAATTTAGAAAATCAGGATACGAACTTATTTTGGTGTTTATAAGAAAGTAAATGCAGTTTAGTAAAAAAACAACCCATTTTTGTATTAAATAAAATAAAAACTACCTCATAATAAATCTTATTGAAAATTTCTTTGCACTGCATCTGTAAATTGATGATTTAAAATCTAAATTTATTTGTTATTCATATATTAGTTTTAATTCATTTCTGTTTGCTTATTATTGTTACACATCGAGCAGTCATGTCAGACAGCGATGCACCCTGGGGAATTGAACGTGCTATTAAAAAACATTTGGGACGACACGAATTGTTGCTGCCTATTAACGTGACAAGTGTCATATTAAACAAAAACAAATAAAAAATGGTAATTTTGACAATGGAACTAATTTCAAAGAAAGAACAGCGAAAGATGCAGGAAAATAACTTCTAGAAGAAAATATTTCATGGCGAAAAATTTGGCTTATTAATAATAGAAATAAAAGACATACACACACATACTGATTATGACACTATCTTCTAATATATTTCAGGTAATGTTAAAATTCCATCGAATTATGTATCTTTCAAAACAAAGAATTACTTTTCGGGCATTTTGCAATCTCGCGTAGAAAATTCTGCCAAGTGCTGAATAAGAAGCGATGTAAATAGTAAAAACGACGAAGGAATGAAAACTCTGTTGGCAAATTGGAAGAATTACTTAATTAAACAAAATACATGCAGTCTAAGTTTTTGCTTAATTAATTCTAGATGCTTCTGGTTGTTTGCCGCCTTCATTTGGTTTAAGCGCAAGAAGTAATTGTATTTATCGTACAGGAGTCTAAATAATCTATTCTGGACTACAAAACAAGAGGGACCTTCTTTAAAAATTAACAATTGCATTGGTTTGGTTTACGGCATATCAACACCTCAATGGGTTATTTAATGCCGACAAGATTCTGGATCTATCTATCTATCTATCTATCTATCTATCTATCTGCCATTCTGGATCTATCTATCTATCTATCTATCTGCCATTCTGGATCTATCTATCTATCTATCTATCTATCTATCTGCCATTCTGGATCTATCTATCTATCTATCTATCTATCTATCTGCCATTCTGGATCTATCTATCTATCTATCTATCTATCTATCTATCTACCTGCCATTCTGGATCTATCTATCTATCTATCTATCTATCTATCTATCTATCTGCCATTCTGGATCTATCTATCTATCTATCTATCTATCTATCTATCTATCTATCTATCTATCCATTCTGGATCTATCTATCTGCCATTCTGGATCTATCTATTATCTATCTATCTATCTATCTATCTGCCATTCTGGATCTATCTGCCATCTATCTATCTATCTATCTATCTACCTGCCATTCTGGATCTATCTATTCATCTATCTATTTGCCATTTTGGATCTATCTGCCATTATCTGATCTGGATCTATCTATCTGCCATTCTGGATCTATCCATCTATCTATCTATATCTATCTATCTGCCATTCTGGATCTATCTATCTATCTATATATTCATCTATCTATCTGGATCTATATCTATCTGCCATTTTGGATTATCTATCTATCTATCTGCCATCTGATCTATCTATCTATCATTCTATCTATCTATCTATCTGCCATTCTGGATCTATCTATCTATTCATCTATCTATCTATCTATCTGCCATTTGGATCTATCTATTCATCTATCTATCTATCTATATATCTATCTATCTATCTGCCATTCTGCCATTCATTCATCTATCTATCATCTATCTATCTATCTATCTGCCATTTTGGATCTATTATCTATTCATCTATCTATCCATCTATCTATCTGCCATTCTGGATCCATCTATCTATCATCTATTCATCTATCTATCTATCTGCCATTTTGGATCATTCATCTATCCATCTATCTATCTATTTATCTGCCATTCTGGATCTATTCATCATCTGCCATTCTGGATCTATCCATCTATCATCTATCTATCTATCTGCCATTCTGGATCTATCTATTCATTCATCTATCTATCTATTTATCTGCCATTCTGGATCTATCTATCTATCTATTCTGGATCTATCTATCTATCATTCTGGATCCATTCTGGATGGATCTATCTATCTATCTATCTATCTGCCATTCTGGGTCTATCTATCTATCTGCCATTCTGGATCTATCTATCTATCTATCTATCTGCCATTCTGGATCTATCTATCTATCTATCTATCTATCTATCTATCTGCCATTCTGGATCTATCTATCTATCTATCTATCTATCTGCCATTCTGGATCTATCTATCTATCTGCCATTCTGGATCTATCTATCTATCTATCTATCTATCTATCTATCTATCTATCTGCCATTCTGGATCTATCTATCTATCTGCCATTCTGGATCTATCTATCTATCTATCTATCTAGTTAAGCATATATTGATTTGGTTTTGTGTTTTACGGCATATCAACCTCAATGGGTTATTTATTCAAGATTCTTATTGCTGGTAATACTTTTTCCAAAAATGTATTGCTGGTAATAATTATTTACAATTCTCAACAATGTATTACTGGTAACATTTTTTTCTTCCAAATAATAATTTAATAATTGTTTTAAATTCAGTTTAAAATATCTCCATTTTTATGTGCATTGAGGAAATCAGTATTATTTCTTCAAAATACCGATGAATCAAAGTTAAAGATTTACAGTTAAAGGTTTAATATGTACATGACATATACATAAATAGCATGACACACACGCACACACACTTGCGAAGACACCAGAAGTGTTGAAACAAAATGGCTATTTTTGTAGTGATTTTATATCATATTTATGTTATAATTTTCGAATAAATAATTTTATTTGCTCTACTCTGTATTGAGCACTCTTTTAAGAATTGTATTTGTTGGTTATTGGAATTTACTCCTTATACAGCAATCTTATACTTTGGTATATATATATATATATATATATATATATATATATATTTAATTATATAATTAAATTAAAAGCATTAGTTCCGTTTTATCTTTAAGCGAATATTGGAATAACTTATTTTTAAATTTACCGAGTTTTAAACGCACATATAAATTCATAATTTCCTTTTTCCAAGGATACAGAGAAATCCAATCATTTAGACAGGGGCGGTAGGGTGTTCATTTTTATTAACTATTGTTGTGTCAATAATGAGTTACGTTCGTAAAAGAGGTTAAGTTTAGGGAGGGTAAGGCTGTATTTTTCAACGAATTCTGACATCTGTTAAATGCATGTAGTCTGGGCTATTTTTTATTAACGGCAAAAAGATTTTCAGCATTTTTTTCGTACTTGTATACTTAAAGATTCTTTCTCGGTGTCTTCAAGTTAGAATACGTTTTATTTAACTACAATTTTAAAATATTTTTACTCTTAATTACTAATTGACTATATATTTTTTTAAAACAAGTAAATGTAATAGAATTACTTAAATTATTTAAAATTATTTTTTCATATTAAATGTAAGTATGTATATTACCAGCTCCCATTTTTTAATTTTATTTTTAAATATTATTGAAGGAAATTTTTTGACAATGACGGCAAAAAATAGCTATTTCATTTCTCTGATTCAGTAATTTTTTATTTTTTTTATATTATATATATATATATATATATATATATATATATATATAAAAGAAAATACAGAAAAAACAAAAATCTGAATATGCTTTTATGTCGTGTTAATGTTAAAATAAAGTCGACGTCTGACGTTTCGGTCTATTTTAGACCATCATCATGGACTTTTCATTTAAACATAATTAACATTATAACTTATAAAATTTAACACAAAAGACGATGGACATAGGAGCCCAAATAATTCACACAGATAACTGAAATTTTATACAGATCAGCGTTCTGTTTAAATATGATCACGTAGTCGTCACGTGGGCGATGTTGTTAAAACGTATTCGAAGATGATTTCCAAAATTAAAATATTAAAAAGTCGATTGAAAAATTGTTATAAACAGTTCAAGAAATCTCTTCCGTTGATGTCGGAATACGTAGTGATCAATTGGTTCTTATATCTTCAACAATCTTGAAGTCCTTCCCGTTACAAGGCAAATCCAAAAGTGATTTCAAAAACGATGGAACAGTTCTAAAAAACAGTTCGATAATAAATCCATTCCTTACTTGATCAATAGAATCATTATTCTCGTCCAAGCTTGATATCTTCCACGTTATGTATGCAAATATATGGATATACATACTGTCTACTGGAAATACAAAACTGAATTTACTTTATAACGTGGAAGATATCAAGCTTGGACGAGAATAATGATTCTATTGATTTTGGAAATCATCTTAATCATGTTAATTATGTTTAAATGAAAAGTCCATGATGATGGTCTAAAATAGACCGAAACGTCCGACGTCGACTTTATTTTAACATTAACACGACATAAAAGCATATTCAGATATATATATATATATATATATATATATATATTTATTAAAGACATTTTTATGTTTAACGTTGTTATTTATAGATATTTATATTTAAACATAAAAATGTCTTTAATAAATAAATTGTCGGACCTTGTCCATTTCTTAACATATATATATATATATATATATATATATATGTATGTATGCCTGTGTGTGTGTTTGTGTGTGCGGGGACACTTAGAGATCTGATGTAGCTAGAGACAAAGTAGAAATGATAACAGAGAATCCTTCATAGAAAGAAAATTAAAAGTTATTGATAAACTATTTTCCATATCCTGTAATTGTATCGCTTACGTGAAAGCTCGATTCTCTCAAGTCGTCCACTGTTGTCTTCTTTCTAATTTCTTGCTTATCTCTTCTTATTTTCTTTTTTGCCTCGCACTTCTCCTTACTCGCAACTCTCGGCATTGATAGGAATAAAATTCCAGCAGAACAAAAAAAAAAAAAAAAAAAATCCCGAATTCCTAGCTCGCTTTTCATTGTCGGTAATTTCGGATTTCAGCACCGAGAACAAATGAACACCGCCTGGCTTAAGTAGATGCAATCTCATATTGCCAAGACGATAATAATATTTATTACTTCACACATTGAAGAGTTCCATATTTTCAAGTAGTGTCGCAATCTAATTGGGTCGTAGCAGACGACATATTTCGAGGATTGCAAAAACTTTGGTGTAAAAGTGTTGAATGTCATCATTATCATTGTTTTTTCCGCTCGCGTTCCTACTTGCTATACTGACTCTTCTCAAAAGATGTTTGGCAGTCATAAGACTATCTAGTACTGAATCAAAATTATCTATATCTGAAAAATAAATATTTATTTTTATACTCTTTCATCTAGCGGTTGAAGAGTTAGTTTATCAGGAGTTTATTGAAGAGTGTTGAGGTAATAAAAACTAGGAGAAAAAATAATTTGTTGTAGTAAAGCGAGTGAGAAAATAGTAATACTGAAAATGCTTCATTCAAAACTCTTAAACCGGCCCGTGTATTTGAAAGTCTTAATAAAGAAAATGTGCCCTGCGTCCCACTTTGATATGAAAGAGCTGTGCCTTAAATGAACCTTACTGGTCCGTCTATATAACGTTCAAAGTAATAATAATAAAAATAATATATATATATATATATATATATATATATTAATAATACAATAAGTAAAATATACATATAATATATATATATATATATATATATATATATATATATATATATATATATATATAAAATAAAATAAAAATAAAAAATAAAATAAATAAAAACAAGCAAAATAATTTAACCCAAATAAATAAATAGATAAATAAATAAATAAACGACTTCAGGCAAAATACCCGCCAAAATAGACTACCCACAATGCACCACTGACCCGTATATTTAAATAACTGAGATAAAAAACAACACTCGTGGCCTGACGATTGTGTCTAGCATGAAACAGACTGTCGCTTCTAAGAGTTGACTTCAGTGTTCACTTTTTATATTTGCACATGCTCTATCTTTGATACTGACCACTTTATACCATAAATATAGCACATCTTAAGAATATATTTCTTTATATATATATATATATATATATATATATATATATATATATATATATATATATATATATATGTTGTTCGGTAATTATGTCGAGATGTTTTTTGCTTCTTGAATAGCGACAAAAGTGCCAAAGGCTAACGAAAATGAACTATCTTCGTTCAAATCTTTCTTTATCCCAATTAACAGAGGCCCACATCGAAAACTACTTAAAATGCTAGAATTCAATCTGTGTTTTTTTTTTGTTAAAGGTAAGTGCACAAAAAATGAACAGTATCAGTCGTGGACTAATGTTGTTGAGTAGAATCAGCTATTACAATATATCTTCAAATGTTTTCATAAGTAACACTGGTGCTATATATTTGGTATCATTTTGTCAGTTTATGATGGATGAAAGAAGAATAAATTGTATGAAGAGATTATTCATTCTAGACCATCTGAAATCTCCGATCGTCCTGGGTATGACGATAAACTACATCCGGCAGCAAGGCCTCTCTCTGATCGGGAGGTTTTGAAGAGCATGGTATCACCTGTTAATTGCTGTTGTTCCCAGGGCCACCCTGACCCACGGTGGAAGCACAAGTCATGGTCTCAGCTATGGGCAAATATCTAAGAAAACACTATGGAAGTTTAAAAATAGATTTTCATAGTAAAATTATCAGGAATTCATTTTTTAAAAAGAAAGGATATATTACCAGCAATAGATTTTTTAAAAAGAAAAATTACCAGCAATACATTTTTGAAAAAAAAAATTACCAGCAATATATTTTTGAAAAATAAATAAAAAATAGAAGAAATAAATTTTGAAAAAGAAAATAAATATTACCAGCAATATCTGTATAACTGGACAATTGTATTCGAGGAAACCCGTCTAATAGGGTGACTAGCCAATCCCTATTGCAGACGCTTGCTCAGGCACATTTGTGTTTGATCAACATCCCCAGAGGCCATCTGTGGTTTATACTGCAGCTATTCTGAGAAGACATTAGTTACAGTTTCTGGGAGAAGGCGTGTTATCTAGCATGATCAACAATTTGAACATGATCAGCATGCTCAAACCCTCGGTCACGATGACTTTTTATTTCGTGCTAGCTCATCTATCGACGGTCCCCAGCGTTATCGTCTACCCAATTTTACTCAAAAGGCGTGGGTCAACCCGTGGTATCGTCTTTAAAGGTACCGCACGCTTGGAGAGACCCCTCCAATCCAGATAGCATCAGGAAGTCTCCTTCCTCACAAATCGACCATGGTGAGATTCGAACCCCGGTCTCATGATCAGAATGTCAACGCAATATTTAAAAAAAAAAGAACAAAAGAATATTACCAACATTACAGTTTTGAAACTCCACGGCTCAAGTCAATTCAAAACAATACGTTGAGTCGAACCACTGAACAACAGAATCCCTAGTTGGTGACTGTCCCT